CTCTTTGCCCGTAAAATCCTCAATCCCTTCAATCTGTAGGCCATCTAGCTGCTCCTTTGATGTAAAGTTCACTTGGATAATTCTATCTGTGCGCACTGAGTGACTGCTGGAGGGAGATCTTGCTCCCTTTTGTCCCTTGCCTCATTGACCCTTGCCCTGGCCTTTTGCCTGGCCTGGGCTTGACAATCAAGAGTCAGGGCTTTTGCTGCAACTTGGGGATCTCCCTTCTTGGTATCCCCTTGTCACTTGTGGAAGCCCAATGTCCGCTGGCAAGGAAAGCATCAGTCTTCTCCTCGCGGGGGAGGTGAAGCCTTTTGCTCTCCCTGGTAGCCACTCACACTGATACCTGACCAAATTTCGCCACGTGCTCTACATTCACTCGTGTAGTGACCGGGTTTTCCACAATTATAGCAAGTGCGCACTGTATGGCTAACGCTAGTTGTTACTGCTGAAGTACAGAAAACTCTGCGAGACTCAGCCGTTTATTGGAACTTTCTCAGTTTCTCAACATTATTGGCAGCCTCTATTGCCTGCTCTAACGTAACGGGAACAACGCTGAATCTCTTTATGAAGTCAGGCTGCAAACCTGCCATAAAGTGACTCAGCATTATCTCATCTATTTGAGCCATTTGACAATCATGTCTTAGAGTTTCTTTGGCCAACATAGGATCAGCAACAATCTTTGGCTCGGAGTTCTCGACTCGTAAAACTTTTATTTTACTCAGGGCTTCTCCCAACATCTTGAGACCAATCTTTTTAATGTGCACCAAATAATCTAGGATCTTCTCCAAATCACCTTGCAAAATCTTTTGTAGTTTTAACACGCCCAAACCCATCAAATCACCGCCATATGCCTTTTCAAGAGCTCTTACTATTGTGGGATAAGGTTGGTCTAACAATCCTGAAGTAGCATTGTTCAAAAACTCTTTGGCTTTTCCAGTGACTCTCTGGCAAATTACAGATCTCATATGCGCATCAGTAACCTCACAATCGGCTAGAGCTAGGCAAACTTTGTTCTGCCAGTCTACCCAAGTGCCTTTGGCTCCTGAGAACATTGGGATATTTGCCAAGAAGTTAATGGCGATGTTTTTATCACCCTTATAAGCACTGGAATCTTGTTAAGTTTTCATGTTAAAGAAGACTACCTCGTCCTTTGTTGGATTGTCCAATTGATTCAAAGTAAGCTCTTTCAATTGCAATTGAGTTTTAATTCCTATGGCTTGTCCAACCTCAGCTTTTCTCTGTTTGGTCTTGTCTTTTAAATGGGCAGCAAACAACAACAACTGAGTGGTCTCTATAGCAAGAGTGCTTTCATTCAGCACTGCTAAGTTGGGAGTGAGAGACTCTATTATCGAATTATAACTCTTTAGCTGGCCAGTACAGAACTCAATTTCTCTAGTTAAAGTAGCTCTAATTTCAGAAGAAGGTCTTGGCTCAGCATCTCTTAGTGCTTTGACTCTAATGTTTTCTGCTTGGAGTAACTTTACTAGTTCAGTAAAATATCCAACCACAGCTTTGGGAGATTTGTTTGCTATTTCAGCCCTATGGACACTGAGGAGTTTGTCTACTTTGGGTGTAGGCAATGACATGGTGTTTTCAGGAATTGGTTGCCTAAAACACTTAGCTCACGTAGTCACTTTTTAACACTCTCACTTTTGCAAGGGGGATCTCTTTTTCAGTGACAACTAGTGACTTAAGTTAACTTTCTCTTGACTGGGTAAAAAGTCTTCATTAAACAAATTCTGTACACAACTTGTTGGTGAGAACTTTGAATTGCTGATCCTCAATTCAACAATTAATTTTCTCTAAAAGCACTTTTTCACCTCAGTCTCTTTTTTCTTATTCAATTCATTCAACTTTTTGCACTAGAGTTTGCGTCACCTGTAAGAATTACTACACTTGGTGCACTTGAACTGCAGCATCTCTGGGGATCCACCCCCCCCCCCCCCAAAAAAGAAAACTACGGCTATGCCAAATTTGTTATCCAAAAATTATTTNCTAGGGATCCCCCCCCCCCCCCCCCCCCAAAAAAGAAAACTACGGCTATGCCAAATTTGTTATCCAAAAATTATTTTACAGAAGTGGGTGATCAATGATGATCAGTGGTTGAGAGCTACTTCTGAATAATTGAAGGAAAAGGGGATTGGAGATTTAAATCGTTTTCTGCAACTTTCAAAGGAAATGCAAAAGTTACTCCGTGAGAGTATTTTCAAGTATCATTTATTATACCTTCACACACAGTCAATACAACAATTGTACAGAGCAAAGCAGTGTAGACTCGGCGTTTGGACAAGGTCTGGTGCGGTAAACTTAATGCAACATAAAATGCACCTGTATATATAGGGCATAGAAACCGATTCAAATTGGGGACGTGACGCTTTGTTTATTTAAAGGAAGGAAGCATGAGCGCGGTTGGGAAAGTATTCTGTCAACAACGGGATTGTGAAATATAATTGCTAGAGCAGCAGGCGCAGCCAAGCGTAGCAGAAATACATTAGCTTAAAAGGGTTGTGCGTAAAGTGAAGGGGGTTAATGTGACTACAAATGTAAGGCAGCCAGTCTGCAATTTCACATGCGCACGCAAATTTCACACCAGAGAAGGGACTCTCCCCAACAATTCAAAAAGATGCCTGGGGCTTGACCTCAAAATATTAGCCAATACAATTTTTATGACTCTTTGCTGATTGCAATCAAAATACAGTGGCCCCCTGCCTAACAGACCTCCCGTGTAAGGGATAAAATTGAAATTTTTAATTTTTTATGTAATTGAATTCGTGTAAAGGACTTTTTGTCTAACAGACTTGTCCCTTGCATGAATCAAGTTCGTTCGACAGGGGTTGACTGTAATTATTTTGATAAGATATCGAAAAATCATTTCATACCTCATACCATTCACGTGAATATTTTCCAAACGAACTTTAAAAATTGAATCTGGAATACTGAAAATAAATTTTATTCCTACCGTTTTTCAGGTCTTTCAAATTGGAGAATATTTGAGCTGAATATTGAGAAAACAAACTTTGTTTCGGAAGGAATGTGTCCAGTAATATTTATTTCCAAAGCCTCACATTGAAAATATTTTCAAGTTATCTACCCTGGTTTTTTTTATTATTATTCCCTTCAGCAAATGCTGGTCAAGAATTCAAGCCCAAACCGAAACCGGCTTCAAAATTGGAACCGGGTACGACTTGATCAGGTTCCCTCCTCAATATCCAATCCCGACTCTCTCCAAGGCAAAACCTCGTCTCTAGAGGACCTGATAAACAAGATCCGTGGTCATGAAATCCCGTACAAGAAACTCAACCAACAAAACCAGTGACTGCAAAAAGTTCTCCTGAAACTAGAAGAAAACAGCGAAAAAAAAACCAACGTCTAAATAATATAACAAACCCTGTCACTCAATAAAAAAATAAATAAAGTGTCATTTCCGTAACTGAACCTGAAGAAAAAAAACAATTCCGCGTTATATGTTCCTCATTTTTATCAATTTTATTTTTATGGAACCGATTTTTAAAAAAAATATGGATCACACCGTCAGTCATCACCATTCAGTTCTTTCTGTTACCGTTTTCAAAATAAAATAAAAAATGCAAAGATGAAACCCATGGATGAGAATCGAAAAAATACGGAATCAATCCCTTATTTATTTTTATGTGTTTTCTTTCATCTTTCTCCATCTCCTTTCGAAAAAAAAAACCTGTGTATGCTTCGGAAAATATAGGGTCGAAAAACCGCGGAAGTTTTTGCAAAAAGCACATCAAGGAAATCATGCTCTATCCTTATCCCATGAATAAGCTTTCAGCACCGCGGAAGTTTTTTGCAAAAAACACGTCAAGGAAATCATGCTCTATCCTTATCCCATGAATAAGCTTTCAGCAGCAGTCGGTATCATATCATATCAGTGCTGAGAAGAGAAATTCAAGATTTTTCCTCTTTGTACCTCCTTTCCCCACACAATGAAATTCACGTGTTTCGCAGCAGTGATTTTAGCGGGATCTTGTGCCGTTGCCGAAATCTCATCGCTCTTCGATCCCCTCGAAGAAATGATCCCTCTGAAAAAATGTCGCATCGTGGAAAGGGCTTACGCGGAAACCATCAATTTCGACGACGACACCACAACGACAACGACAGCGACGACGACAACGAAGAAAAAGTCTCCGAAACCCTCATTGACTCATTATTCCGGTGCCAGCAGCATCAGCAGCAAGAAACCCCTGGGGAAATTATTGAAAACGAAACCGAAACCAACCACGTCATCCCCTGCCGATGACGACTATGATGACGATAATAATAACGAAGACATCGACATTCATTACATTCGCAGCAACGTCGACATCAACAAGTTGCACGAATTATTGGGCCAATTGACGAAACCGACGAAAAGGACTCGTCCCCACACGTCAACAACTGCTGCAACACAGATTTCAAAGTCCATCGCAGCTCGGAAAGTGAATGCCAGAGACAAACTCTCGAAAAGACCCAGGAAATTCCATCATTTCGACAGTGATAATAATAATAATAATAACGAAGAAAGTGTCGTGTACGAGACTGCGATAAACGACGGGGATGACAAACAGAAAAATTCTTACAAAGTTGCCCTGAGGCGACGGAGCCTGAAATCGGAAAAACGCAGAAAGTTTCTGGACGTGCAAAGACGCATGAAACTCAAACAGCAGAAGCATAAGACTTACATGAAGAAATTGCACTTGGCGCAAGTATCCAGTCTTTACAAGACGAATCAATTGCAAATGTTTTCGGGATAAATTCTGCGGAAAAAAAGAGGAGAGAAACCGAAATGTGCTTTTCTTTGTCCGGAGCCGATTCTGTGTGAATAATGCTGGAGAGGAATAAGGAAAGAAAGAAAACCCGACTTGGTTTATTTCAACCAAACGCAGGAGTTGATTCTTTGCATATTGCAAATGTTGGGTCACTTTTATGTACCTGCAAAAAAAAAAAAAAGCGGGGTATATTTTAGGTCGTGGTTCTCCAGACTTTCACATCACTTCTTCAAGGAGCTCAGGTTCATCCGCTTCTCTCATTCAGCAGTGAAATCTTTCTTTTGAATGAAGAAAAACCCAATTTCGGTTTTTGCAACAAAAATTTAAAAGCAAGAGATGTTGGCTCAAGTCCTCTCTTTCTTGCAGAAATAGACTTAAATTTAGCAGGTATCATGAAAATGTTGCCAATTGCATTTTTGGTTGTTCTTGTGAACCTCTGCTTCACAGCTGGTAAGTTTTACTTGTCTTTCCCCAATTTTTTTTATGAAGTTTGTGAAGTGAGATCTTCAAAAGTATGGAGATATATGTGAGAGAATTTTTCAGAAATTCTGTGGAAATTCATATTTGGAAGTCCCAATATAAGTGCTTGCAAGTGAAAAGCTGTGATGTTCTGGTGCTCTTGCCACAAATCATGAAATGCATGGAATGTCTCGTTAAATTATAATAATGCTGATCTTGAATTTCCTGATAAAAATCATTGTTCACCTGTGCAAAATGGAGATTTCCGCATAAATGTCATACTTTAAAAAATTGTAGTGAAACTATCTCAGGGCATTAATTTTTTTTTTCAAGTCTTTTCCAATGCAAATGTTCAGTACTGAACAAGTCTTACACAACCTTGTGATGGATTCATTGGAACTACAGTAATAACATTTTCCGATGGTTTAAGCCTTATGGGAAGTGAAATTTGAAGCAAAAACTGGAATTTGATTTGCATACACAAATTTTCACAGAACATCAAATTGGAGACCGGAGGTTTTTCCTCAGAATGGGTGGAAGTAAAACATGAATTGTTTCTTTCTCGCATCTTACAACAAATTGTTTGCAACTTCATGCATAAAACATGAGTATAGCATTGGATCAATAGGCCAGTTGAAAGCCAGCAGATGAACTGTATATATCTTCAGAATTTAAAATATGTAAGTGAAAAACCCATGCCATGCTCAAAATGATGTCAATTCGCCATTTATAACAACTTTAGGGATTGTAATGCATCAGTTCATACTACTGGTGGTCTATCAAAATATTTTCAATAATGCGGAAATAAGCTGCAATTTCGATTTTTTGTTTGATGTGCATTTTCCCGGGGTTCAGAGTTTAAAAAATATGTTGTATACTGTATTTGTGCAGTACAGTAGCACAGTGTTATGATGTGATCCACGTTGTCCTTTTATATTTTGCTTGAAGACCTGTTTAAATTTAGTACTTGATATGTTGAGACTTGAGGTTTGAAGATTAAGAAAAAAAAATTGTAAACACACTTGATGCATCATTGGGGTGTTATATATGTGTGACAGGAAACATTACATTTGGAAACCTAACATGCTGGAAGGAACTACTCTTACATCCTGAGAGTAAAACGTTGTTTTTCTATTTTGAATAATTTAGTGTAGATGTCACTATATGCTGATACGAACACGGAGGTTTTCGTCCCCATACAGTATATACCTTGTGATTATTCTTCCTGGTGGGTTTCTTCTCCTGCATTGTTTCTCTCAGGCTCGTTTGTTCCGACAAACATAGAGGGCTCTACTGAGCGCAACTTCTTTGCCGAAGCGCATCAAGCGCCGGAAGTCGGTGCTGAAGGAGGCACGGGAATTGACGAGGACGAACTTCAAGGTCTGACCACCGCACTGGACATGAGACTGAAGTGAGTCGCCAAGTCGCGTCAAGAGTGTGGACGAGTTCACCTAAGCGACTTTAGGCGATACCTTCGTGGATTCCTAGAAGCGACACCTCTTGTCAATGTCAATAATGTTGTGGCGTCTGGAGGAGGTGACGCTTCCTCGACCAGCGCTCCTGCACCAGTTGCCGGTGTGTCCAATACTGATGGCTGATGATGATCACAACATACACATCAATTCACATCCAGACTCAGATGTAGATTATATTATCGACAGACTTGTGTGGAGTAAAGAAAACATTACCCACACAATTATACAGACTCATTCAAATTATTTTAACCAACTCATTAATCGGGGGTGATATATGATGTTTACGCACACTACACCAATAAGTTACACACGGTGCATATTGTAAACGTGTTGAACCTGTTAAAGTCGTGACGTAAATGTACTCCTTTATTATACGTGAGCAAGAAGTAATCATAGTTCCCACATCGAGTCTATGACGAGTATTCCCTTGCACGTGTTAGTTTCTTTAATAACTGCTTACTGACTTAATTTAATTTTTTTAAAGTAACGTAAGAATCACTGTATTCAGCAGGGAAGTATATTTTTCCTCAAATATGAGGTGAGCATTACTGTATTTCTATTTTTCCGCATTAGAGTTTCGTCAAATGACCCCAGGAATAAAGAAGTACAATGCCAGCACAGCAGCTGTATCATGTTACAACGCATTATTTGTTATGGCAATTTTTTTACACTATGGTATAAAAATCTTCAACCAGCAGCTAATTTTATGATGGCGTCTCAGTATAACCACTTTTTGTCTTTGATTTCATCACATAGACCATATGCATAATTTCGTGAATGGCAGAAAAAAAAACTGTTTCCATTCGAACTCGTCTATGAAGAATCTAACACTTTTTGCAGAGAACATATACAGTATTTCAGAGAACATAACATACACTACAGTATGTTTAAAAAAAAAAAACACAGCACAACATCAGTTCCATTCAAAAATGTAGCCTTCCTTTCAAAATGAACAGTATTGCATGTTGTTAGCGAGAATTTTCCTGCTTAAGAAAAATTCAGGTACACTAACTGTAATGAGTTGATTCAAAAGGATTAACCCCACATGTACAGTACTTTTGTTTCATCTTATTTTCAAAGAAAAACATTACTGCACATTTAAGTAAAAAAGTAGCAGTTTCAATTAAATTATTGGATCAATGCATTCAAATGTTTTTCCCCTTCATCTCGTCAGAGAAACTTGAATAAAATATATCTCTCAATTATCCATCACAGAACCACTTCACAGAATCTATTACTCATTCCCATTAACATTTCAGTCCAAAATGTGTTGAAAACCATGAATCTTGATGCAGTATATATACAATGACTTTTTCAGCATAAGGCACTTTATCAGGTACCTGGGAGTTTTTTGTGATGATATTTCAGCTTCTTCAGATCAGATGATATTTTGAGAACATTTTCATAAACTTAGCGGATCGAACGAATGCTTCAACATGATGAATTTAATATCCTGTTGAAAAGATCGAATGAAAAATGCATCATTGAGGAAATTGAAAAGAGCCGCTTCAATGTTTGCTGATTCCAGCTGAAGCGAGTCGTTTGTCAAAGAGACGGGTGAAGCGAGGGTATTTGTCAGACAGGAGGAAAGCCTTGAAGAACATCAAGCTCAACAAGATGATGCAATACCAAAAGAAATACAAGTCCCTGAAGAAATCACAAGCCCTCAGCGCGTTCAAGCTCCAAGCCAAAAACGAGCTCGGTCGCTTCAGACCCTGAAAAGTCATCCGAAAATACCAATTTTGACCTTCTTGATCCTCACCAACAATATCATCATTTCTTCAGTTATGTCAGAATGAAATATAGAAACAATATTGCACTTTACGTTGCGTGAATCTTCAACTTTCGACAAAGACTCATTTTCCTTGCTCTATAATTTCGTATCTGGATCACGCGTATTCGACGAGATGAGATCCGATTCAAAGTTGTTTTCGTCATTTTTCTTCTTACCAACGAAAGAAAACCATCACACGCGTGTCATAGAAAGGTTACTTCTTCTTTATTCCCGTAGCTATGAATACCGAGCTTCGTATTCACTGTCATCAGGCAGATTTCGAGAAGAAACAATAACCACAGAAAAAGATTTTCGCACTCGTTTGTCATGGCTCATTTTCATTTGCGAAAGCAGCGTTATAGGTACAGTGTATAGAGCACGTACATCTCTCTGCACTTTTATTTGCACGAACTCATCCTTGCATTGTCAATACACGCTTTTTCAAAAGATATGTCAATGAACCTCGCAATAATGACGGAAATGGTGACTGAGGACGAGAAGGCGAGTTGGAGCACAGCCACAACGGCAACTTTGCCATCAAACGCGAAGCAAAGCGTGTAGAGCGACCCGGGAAATGGTGAACAAGGTCAGAGCACTGGCCAATACCCACAGCAAGGCGACAAAGCCGTACCTTTTTCGAGAGACCAAGAAAAGAAGGACATATGGTCGATTAATGTTGAAGCCTCAATGAAACGGGAACCTCAGTAACGATTCCGAAACATCCGGAAGTCCGAAAGGCTTTCCTCATCCATAAATCTCATTCATAATTCGATGTTTCCGGATACATTTCGACAATTACTTTATTGACACGTCAGGAAAGAGAAAAGCACTCAGAATGAAATGATGTGTTCTGAAATAAGATGACAGAATAATCGGGCAAATGAACCGGTCCCTCCAAGTTTAACATCTTGTCCACTCATATTACGGAAGAAGCAAATTTTAAGACCCAGAACATCACGAATCACAATTTCCTGTATTCCTTCTTCAATTCTCTTCTCGGAACATAAATTCTTGCTTCCCTGCAATTCCAAACCTCTCCATCACAAAATTTTTGCAGCTCATTTTGAAGAGAATTGAGCTGCAAACATTTGGGATGCATGCAACGTGAATTTCCGCATGCAACCCAAATGTTTGGGATGCATGCAGGGTGAATCTCACATTTAGTTGTTGGAAATACACTCTTTGATTAACTTCTTTTTTAATTTTACCTTTGGAAAATTTTGCTTGACACCAACTGAACGTTTCTCCCTCATATCTTGAGGGAGAGAATACCTGGCTTAACATTTTTTTCAACTAACGTATTTTTTCCGCTGCACCAACTAAAAATGTTAAGCAAGGGTTGACTGCATATATTTTTGCTGTGCTGGTGTCCAGTGAGTCACATGCATAAAGAAGGTGATGCCTGCTAGGCGCATTGGCACCGCCTGTCTCAGGCTCTGGTTTTTGGGTTGTGGTTGCTTTTCTATCACTTTTGAAACCAAAGAATCTGGAATTATTTTGGGGATGCCTTTGATGGAGGATGAGAATGTCAGGGCCACATCATGCATTTCTTGCTTAGTTTCGGGACGTCAATTGCAAACAATTATTCAGTAATGGGTAACTGCATTTACAACAGCATAGGGTAATATCCTGTGAAAAATTATTCCAGGTTGCTGCGTGTACTTGAGATATTCAAGTGAAAGCCACTGAATTTGGCTGTCGCTTTAGCGCATGAAATACATTTTATGTGTGCTCTTCATTTTTGCATTCTTGCTATGCAAATATAATGTAAATCGAAATGATAAATCTCATAATGAAAATAGGTAAGAAATTGGGATTTAGGAGTATTTTTTTTTGCTTAGAAAGCAGCTAACATGGGAAGATTACTTGCTTCTTCCTGCCTGTGAGAAAACTGTCAATGCATGTATTGAGGGAGCTTGACTCTGGGTATCTTATACTGGTAGAGCCATTGGTGCCAGGTGAGGATTCTTGAGCAAGTGAATTCCAAATGATGCACAACAGCTTGGGTGTTGGGATATTCAAAGCATCCACTTGAGAAGCTTGTAGGCTCCCTTAAAAAAAAAATTGGTTCTTCTACCTGAGGTATTGATTTTCTGATTCAGTTTTTTGAAATATGACCCAGTTACCCATTCTGCATAGAATACAAAAGATTATGGGAAGAACAGTTTCCTGGAGTCGCAGTTCTGATGGAGCTCAAGTCAAGTGTGGTTACTTGGCATGGGTATGGGTTCTCTACGTTTCCGGAAGTGGCTGGTGGGAAAGTTTAGATGATTTCTCATTGAAACCATATTTGTGGTGTGATTCTCTCAGTTTGATGTGGTGAACCTTCAAGTTTGAATTGAAAAATATTTGCCTAGAATAATTGATTATTCATTTATTGTTCAAAATTATTTACCTGATTCCTGAAAGTCCTGGAAAAAGTATGAATTCGGGGTCCTGCAAATGATTGAATCATAAAGTATTCTGGGATAATTTTAAAATCTGAAATTTCCAGCTTCCAATCATTCAACAACTCCTAGCTCAGAAAGCACCCAATAATTCTTTTTTGTTGGTATTGCATTTTTTCTTGGTTCCTGAAGTTAGGAAAATTAGTGTTCATTCAAGACCTTGGTAGACCATTGAAAAAGACACATTGACTCCTGGATTTTAAAAATTTGCGCAGTAACCCAGAGTAGATTGATAGAATTGATCACAGATGAGCCAAACTATATTGTAGTCATATTTACGACCACAACACCCTT